TTGGGCATCTGGAGTTGCCTTTTAAACAGACAAGGCTTCTCAGCCTGAATGAAACACAGCTGCTTCTCTTCCAGAGCAACTGACTCTAGCTCTTACAGAACTAAGAAATAAGTAGAAAGCAACTACTGAGTCCTATATTCTGTATTTTTAATTCTTTCATATAGGGAATTTTCCCTGTTACACTGGCTTCCTTGTTCTTGATCAGGGTTTTTTTATCTCCTAGGTGCTTGATGATCAGTTACAGAAGATAACCAAGCAGATCAAGACTGGAGATTAGGAAAATGATGGGATGGCTTGCAGTAAACTGTCATCAAATGGAACAAAGATTCTTCTGCTCCTCTTCAGGTCCCATCACAGGGACCCAGCAAAAGAAACCCTGTGACTCTGGAGCCCTCTCTACTGTTTTAAGACTGTGATGGGGTCCCTCTATTGAATCTTGCAAGATCAGTTAAACAGTCTATGGTCCCCAGCAGTCTGTCCCACTTTTCTGCCCGTGGTTGGGGGGAAATAAGAGATGCACAGATAAACATGTTAAACGCTTTAGCTTAAAACTTCTGATCATTATAATACAACATTAAAAAACCCCCCACTTACAATAACTACACTCTGCATATGATTATATACTTACCAGATACATGCTTATAATTACATATACTATACATAAATATGTAAGATGAATATAACTGCCAACTGATGGTAGCTTATGCTGCTGTGCTGCAAGATGTAAGCACTAGAGAGCTGACACAATGTCTGTGTCTGCTCTTCCTAAGGGGCTGGTAACTTCCAGCAAATGAAAGAAACAAGACAGTTGACAATAGTAATTCCTTAAACTATAGATGTTCATCAGCAGGAGCCCTTAGAAATCAAGATGTTCGTTCCCCTGTCAAAGGAACGTGTTCAGATATAAACCTAAGCATTACATTCTATTTACAAAAAATGTACTATTTTATTATAGAATATTAAAAATGGCCTAATATAGAAAGTAATATTTTAAGTATTAGAAATATTTTAAAGCTGTCATTGGACTCTTCAATTACAGACAAATCTGAGTGTAAAGCAGGTGACATTTTGGCAAACTGACCAGCTGTTTGCTCCTAAGTACATTAGATTTAAACTTTCACTGAGATTTAACTCTAATGCAGGTTACCTGGCATTTGAATTTCATTACCACAGCACAACTGATGCAGGTCAATTTGTTTGGCTTGAGTGCCTGAGCCTTCACTTTACTTGAAACTTCATGGCAATGTTTTGGGTCCTTTTTTTTTTTTTTAAATAAAAAAAAAAAAAAGGGGATTTACAGTTTTTACTAGTTTGTCTGTTGTTTGAAACAAGTAAATCTGCAATTTGAAAGCCTTGTGTAAACCACACACACACATGAGTGTAAATGTGAAAGCCTTTCCTCCACTCTACCTTTCAGTCTCCTTTTGGAATAGAAGGAATGAAAAAATCACAGGGCAAACTTGAACATCTGGATTTTGTTTCTGAAGCAGTGTCCACTAATTAAATATAAGATAGCATTCTACACAATTAGTTTCTCCCCTTGATCAGTTTGTTTATCCATGAAAACTGCTACTTTCCCTGTTTGTCTGTAACTACGTGTCCATTAAAAAAAAACAAGGCAAAGCAGCATTGAAATTCCTTTTATAATAGCACTGGTGCTATTATACTTAAAGCTGGAAAGAGCTTTTGAGCTGTTTCTAATAGAATACATGTGAAAACTGAGGAGCTCTCCTGCTGTGCGTTAACTTAGCGAGAGATAGATGAATGTGGCATGGTGTGCACAGCATGTCACCCTTCGCACCTTAAGCCTGTCTTATTGGTAGGGAAAACCTGTTGCAACGCATAGAGCACTCAAGAATATGAAGACACAACTGGCCACACGTCTTTCTGACGCTTTAGTCAACAGGAACCATGCAGCTGACAGGAGCTGGTGTTTGTATCCCTAAAGCACTGTGGTCTGTCCCAGCTGAGGCTGCTTGAGAAGGAAGCTGAACTGAATAGCGCTGTTCACTAACTACTGCTGTAAGAACTGATTGCTCCTTCCCTGGTATAAACAAACAGGTAAGCACAGACTATTCTGGGTCATTTCTAGTAATGGTGAGCTATGGAGCTTTCACGGTGGTTTCTGAGAAATCGCTTTCTCTGATCAGCAAGCTTGTATGCTCCTCATGCAGCGATCTTGCCACACAGAGCCAGCCATGCTTTTATCCCAGTGGCAGGGACTTAAAAGAGGGTGCTCATGGCTCTTGTTAAATAAGACATCACTTGCCTTCCAAGCCAACTCCGAGACATGAACAGACGTCATCGCTCCCAGTCCCCTCAGAGTTAAATGTCGCACCTTCCCTAGTGCTGCTTGCTCAACTGATGGCCTGCTTTCAACTCAGGGCACGCAACTTCACTGACCTGCACAGGGTCTGCACATAGATGTGTGCGTGAGGGCCCGGCTGTGACCGCCATGGGGAGGGGGCAGTAGCAGGTGCAGCAAAGGAGCTTGTGCCTTCCTAAAGGAGCCCTCTGATCATCACTTTCATACAGCAGGCACTAACTAACATGAAATCAGCCTGGAGAGCTTTGCAGCTCAGAGGCAGATGACCAAACGCTGATCACATGGCTGCCAGCAGCTAACACTGGCCAGGGAAAAGGATCTTAACTGACTACAACATCTGTGTCATCACAGAAGACTTAAGGAAGAGCTCAACTGGGAAATGCTGATAAATGTCCAGAAGGGTTAAGAAAATAGTTCAGAAAAAGCTTTGAGACTCAAATAGTATTCTCAGAACAATTTATAATGAGGAAAGCTTTCCCCTTTGTGGGTCTCTAACAACACTGACAGCCTTCAAGGGAGGCTCCGCTGTGGAAAACATAACCTTCACTTGGCACAGCACACAAGAAAAAAACCTCAAGGTGTGTGATGGCAGATAACATGAGAGCTGTGGAAAGCCTCCAGACAACGGCCAATTCGGTGGCCAATTTCCTACGTGCTGTAGGAAATAAGTCAGAGCAAGAGCTACTGGCCTCCAAGCTGCATGAGAGGGAAAAAAAAAAAAAAAAAAAAAAGAAAGAGTTCTACCTGAAAGCTAGGAAATGAATAGACAAAAGTGATGCCACACTGGCTCAACCAATCCTGTCTTTGATAGTGGCCAGTTGTAGCTGTTTAGGGAAAAAAAATACAGGAAACAGAGCAGAAGAAATCTCCTAATTCAGCTACTGATAGATTGAATTGTATTATTTCACAGTTGAAAATGAAGCAAAGTCCCACTTTCTCAGACTGGGACACGGGGTGGGGATGGTTGCAAATACTGGAAGCTTGTGTACTGTAAGGTTTCCTTTGATGTAAATTAGTTCCCCTTCATGCATAGGCCACGTGCGACTGTCAAAAGGCTCTACACTAAAAAGGAGAGGAAAAATTATGTCAGCCCTCCATTACTCAACAGTTAAGTTTGTGAACATGGGGGAAGAGGGTTACAAAGCAGCTCCATGGAAGAAATATAACACTGGGGATACAGAGAAAGCCTGCCTGGCATATCAACAGATTTAGTTTTAGGACTCTGAGTGTTATATCCTAAAACAATTGCAGCATTTCCCACTTAATTTTCTAGTGTGAGGAAGGACTTTTTTCTTTAAGAAACTTATTTTCTTGGCTTTTGCCCTGCTAGTGCAAATACTGAGGAGCTGTCATGGCCCTGAAGGCACCAGTGGCCCTGACCGCCCCTGCCCAGCCCTCAGGGCTTCCCCCCACCTGCCACGCCCCAGGACCCCATGTCAGCCCCACAGGGCAGTCAGCCTCTGCGCCAGCAGGGCCGGTCTTCAGCTCCCCACAGCCCTGCCCAGCCACGAGCCCTGCCCAGCCAGGCCCAGCTGTGGGCTCACGTCCTGGCCTTGGCCCGTCCCTGTCCCCAGGAAGGTGCCCGATGTCCTGGGGCCACCCCAGTGTCGCCGGCTGCCCTTCTCCTGGCTGGG